TCTCTCCCTTATCTGCCCTGAATTCTTACGCACGTCTCTGAGCTGGGTAGGGATCTGGGACGATAAGTACCAGAACAGTCTACTCAGAGTGGGGTCACTGTGAACTGCAGTCTGGATCAGCTACAGTTGGTCCTCTAGCACCCAGGTGACACTCATACCTGCCCTCCACTCCTGCTGAGGAGCCTCTGAGGCCCCTCTCTGGCTGGGCAGGGATCCTGCTGGGCTCGTGCCCTGTATGGTCACACATAGGAAACACTCTAGCTGTCAGAGTCTAAAGATGAACAGGCCACACCCACAGCAGCCTCCACTGTGTGTATTGTCACCAGTGGACACTCCCACCTGGACTTTCCCAGGGAGGAGACAGGCTGAACTCTGTCTTCTGAGTTCTGACTGTTCTTCTCTCTCTCTCTCTCTCTCTCTCTCTCTCTCTCTCTCTCACACACACACACACACACCACCCCTCGTCATTTTTTTGTTTTTTTGACCAAGGCAGCTTATAAAAGAAAGTGTTTAATTTAGGGCTGACAGTTTCAGAGGGTCAGAGTCTGTGACCATCATGTGGCAAGCACAGCAGCAGGAAGGCTGGCATGGTGTGAGCAGTGGCTGAGAACTTACATGTAGAGACATAACCACGAGACAAAGATGCCATGATAGATAATGCCTTCAAACTGTGAGCAGAAACAAATCCTCCCTTTCTGGAGTGGCCGTGCCAGGTAGCTGTCCCAGCAGGAAGGAAACTAAGACACTGTGTTTTTATCATTTCCCCATCTCAACAAATAGACTCTATGTTCATATCATGTTGGGCAGCTGGCAGATTTTCTCTCATATACACGAACCTTCCATAGCTTATTAATTCCCAACCGCCAGCTCTTGACGGCTCTTTCTGCTTTAAAATAATTACCAATAGTGTAATGTTTGCGCTGAACTTACTGATTGATGCCCTCTCACTTGCCCAGGGCCTTTCCAAAGGCCCAAGAGGAATCTAGCAGTTTTATACTCTTATTTTGCATTCCTTGTGCTAAAGAGGCCCTCCTAAATTTTATAAACACCAGGCCCCATAAAACCTGGATGTGTTCATTAGCTATTATAAACATTCTCACACTCTTTTTTTTTTTTTTTTTTTTTTTTTTTGGCTACTTCTTTATTTCCTTAGGACAGATTCCTAGAGATGGAACTGCTGGGTCACTAAGGCAGAGGGACATTTTTAAGATTCTTGAACACATCACCAATGGGGCCTCCAGTATACATCCCAGCACCAAACGAGGACCATGTGGTTCTGGTGGGCTTCCGTTTCCCTGTGACTGTGGCTCCCAGTGTTGTCATTGCTATTATTCACACATCTAAATGGAGGACTGTGATCCGAGAGGGCCATGGCTGTCAAGGGTAGAAGTTTTACCATGTGTGAACTTGGCTGAGAAGAAAGCAAAACCCCAAACCAAACTCTACACGTTTTCCTCCCACCTGAGCCTGTCCTTGACATGTAGCTGTTCTCCTTCCTTGAATGCAGGGGCACAGTTCCTCATAGCATCTCTGGCTCCTGCCTCAGGCAGAAACCAGGCTTCTCTGTGCCTTGTTAGAGCTGCTGTTGGTCTCTCAAAACATCTTTCTTTCATTGGGGCTTCAAAAGCACATTAGTACACTTGTTGTATTTTGTAATGTGCTAATGAGAACTCGTGAAATCACAGAGTGGTTTAAAAACCTGTTTTGGCAACCTCATTCAGCAGAACTATTTTTCTATAGAATCTGTGTCTCTTTTATGAGTCAAAATCTTATTCTGAAAAGGGGTCTTCCACAGACTGACAAGGGGACAGGGCATACTCATGTCAGAGTGCTTACTGACTGGTGGGCTCACATTTCTTAATACTTGTGCATTGGAAGGAAAGGGGTCCTTCTGACGCCCACACCCAAGACAAGCTCTGTGTCAGGTCCTGGGGACTGGAGGAGACAGACTGACTCCTGCCCCAGAGGAACTCACAGCCTGGGTAGGAGGTGCAATTTTATAGCTCCCACCGTACATTCTGTCAGCCCAGATTACACAGTGCCTTGAGAAAAATCAGCCAGTACAGTGGTTGCTAAACAAGTATGGAGACCCCAAGTTAATATCCCCAACCCCCCCACACACACACACAGGTGTGGTAGTGTGTGTCTGCAATCTCAGTGCTAGGGAGACAGACAGAAGGATTCCAGGCCCCACTGCCAGACAGCATAACTGAATTAGCAAGCTCCAGGTTCAGTGAGAGACCCTGTCTCAAAAAAATGTGGTGATATTTTGTTTATGACCTAAAAAATAAAGCTTGCCTGAAGATCTAGTATAAAGCTAGTCACAATAGTTAGCCATAGAGGCCAGGCAGTGATGATACACACCTTTACTCCCAGCACGTGGGAGACAGAGGGAAACAGGTCTCCATTAGTTAAAAGCTACCCTGGGCTACACGAAATTGATCCAGTTTAAAGAGAAACAGCTCACACAAAGGTGATCTCAGCACTTGGGGTCCCACACCTTTAATCCCAGCACAAAGGAGGTGGAGACAGGCAGGGATATGGCTGAGTGGAGAGAGGAATATGAGGTGGGAGGAGACAGAAGCTCATGGCAGTCCAAGGCCGCAGTCTGAGCAGTCAGTCTGAGGCTGCAGTCTGATAAGGAAGTCTGAGGATGTAGTCTGAGGGAGTCTGAGGACAAGATCACCCCTTTGGTCCGAGCATTGGTAGAGTTAAGAACTCTAGTGGCTGGCTGCTTTGCTTCTCTGATCTTCAGCTTTCACCCCCTGATAGCTGACTCCAAGTTTTTATTAGTGATACCAATTATAATTTGTGCTACAAAAACCATGATGGGGTCCTGGTGAGATGGCTCAGAGGTAAAGGCATGTGCTGCACCCTGTTGACCTGAGTTTGCTCTCTGGAACCCACTAAAAGTTGAAAGGAGAGAAGTAACTCTATGAAGTTGGCTTCTGACCTTCATGAATGCCATGCACATGCACATGCTCATACACACACACACACACACACACGATACTTATCAATCACCAGCAAAGCAACAGCAAAATATAACTGTTTTCTTTTTTATTCTTAACAAATAATAATTCAAAACAAAATAAAAATTAACATGGTAGAGAAGAACAGCCTTTGGTTTTTGCATACCTGTGTGAGCATGTATGCATGCACACAGAGACAAAACCAGACTTCCCAGTGTTCCCACATGAAACAACTGTTCCAGTTTTTTAAGTTTTTAAATATTGTAAACTAATCAAAATTTATAAATGCTTATGTGGATCAAATCGAACACAATTGAAGGCTAAGTAAGACCCAAAGACCTAGGAACTAGACGCCAGGTCCTATTTCTACTAACCAGGGAGACTGGGGCCTTGGGGTGGGAAGGAGGAGCTGGAGAAGAAGGTCCATGGTGCTGGCTGGGAGAGGAGGGATGCTGACAGGCCTAGGTGCCACCTGGGAAGGCATCAGATGGCCAAACAGGCCATTAACTGGCAGTATACAAGGAAGCTCAGGGGCTTTTAGCAAAGACATAACTGACAAAAATAAATATAAGATTTTTAAAAATTTAATGACAAAATTTTTGAATATAAGTATAAAAATCAAGTTTTATGACTTTGACAATAAGCATAGAAATTGACATTTGTGTTTTAAAATTTATAAATAGTTATAAATTCACTTATAACACTGAACAAATGAAATACTGAGGAGAGAATTAAACAAAGGAGAACCTACTCAAAGAAGATTGTGTGTGATCCAGATGTAGTAGCAATGTCTGAATTCCACAGCATCAGAAGTTGGAGGCAGATGGACTAGGGTTTAATATTATCCTCAGCTACATAAAGTTTAAGGTCAGCCTGGGCTACAAGAGACCCTGTCTCAAAACAAGCAAACAAAACAATAAACCAACAATAAAAGAAAGGTAAGTGGAAGAATAGAATTCAACACATTTCCACTCCAAAATCACTTCAAATAGAGAGCAACCACCCTGAGGCAGCTGTGGAGAATGAGACACCCATAGATATCCCAGAGTTAGTGGAGAAAATTCTGATGAGAGGACTTGCTTTGCAGGGATCAAACAAGCCAAAACCAATTATTAGGAGCTGGTATAGGAACACAGATCAGTGAGACAGACCAGGAACTCAGATCTCAAGTGTATATCAGAATGTCAGGAGAGGCAGGCAGATCTCTGTGAGGTTTTACCATAGAAATATATGGCCTAGGAAAAAATGAGAGGCAGTTCCCAGAAGAGTTAATGCAAATTGGCAACCACCAACTGTGCAGTAGGTAACAATGAGAGGCCAATTGCCATTCACAACCAGGGCCTACCCTAGCAGGTTAGCATGGAGAGGGACCACCACACACAACAGAAATGGGAAACATGACTGTCTTTTGAAATGTAAGGTGTATTGAAAATTCTAAATTAAGAGCTGGAGAGATGGCTTGACAGTTAAGAGCACAGGTTGCTCTTCCAGAGGACCCAGGTTCGGTTCCCAGCACCCACATGTAGCTCACCACTGACTGTAACTTCTAGTTAGAGAAGATCTGACTCTTCTAGCTTCCTCTGGTACTAGGCACACATGTGGTGCACAGACATACATGCAGGCAAAACAACCATATATGTAACATTGTTTTTTTTTTTAATTCTAAATCAACAGGGAGTTAGAATATATTACATATTTTCCATTTATCATCTGATGTCTTTATCTGTCTATCTTTGTGGATGGAAATTTTTGACTGGTGAAATGTTTGACTTAGGAAGCACACATTGGGGTGTGTCTGTGAAAGCGTCCAGGGACAAAGAGAGACTGAGGGCCAAGGCCCACCCCAATTGATAGCATCTGCAGCATAACCCCAACTTCTACAGCTTAGGGGACATTGAGGAAGAGGGAGCAGAAATATTGCAAGGGCCAGAGGATCAGGGTGTTTGTAGTGAGACAACCTTCTGTGTATGATAGGAGCTGCACGCATGAGTCATCATTTTTCTCATCTTCATCATCATCTTCATTAACAGGGGAGAGCATGGACTTAGTCCTCACTACCACAAATTATACAGTAAAGTTTGCCACATCTGGGAGAATTGCCGGAGTCAGGATATCTAATATACAATGGAGACGCCTCACCATGAGGAAACCACCTTCATGACCATAGTATTGCCCCTGCTAGGTAAGTATACCCATGACATCCTCACAATACGGCCACCTAAACAAGATCTGCACAGTGATAGCACCAGCTGACATTCCAATGTGCATGTGGGAAATCTTTCAAGGTGCCATCCCTAAATGAGGACTACAATCAATTAAGGGCTGCTAAGAGAGGAAGCGTCAGGATTTTCTAGGGACAAGGCCCCAGATAGGCTATCATATCCTAAGTGGTCAGCCATAAACAAACACACATATGAGCAACACTAAATGGGCTCAGAAGGTTATATTTATGCATATGTATATTTACCTGTGTATGTGTATTTATATACACATACATACATACATCACAGAAGAGGTCATGAATTTGAGAGGGAGCTGGGGGAGATAGAAGAAGATGGAGGCAGGGAGGGAAGGGAGAAATCACATAGACATAGCACCAATGTGCGAAATTCTCAAAAAAAATGTAAAAAGAAAAAAAAAGAAAGAAAATGTCCATCAATAACAACTGACTAGGTAAGTCAAAAACATTAATGCTGGAATATCATGAACTCCAAAAAACAAAACAAAAAGCCGAACGGAGCTGTATCAGTTTGCGAGAGGTGATTTCTTTGGGATGTGGTTGAGGTTCTTTTTTTTTAAGTTATAGGAGACTATACAGACTACAGTCCAATTTTTGACAAAGCAATGATAAAAACCCCTCTAATAAAGCCTGCTTGTATTTTCACACAGTTTATTCTCTGTCAACCCTGACTTGACCCTGGGGAAGCATGCAAAGGCTCAGGAGAAGAGTGTGCTAGTGTGGCTGGAGACAGGCACACAGGAAAGTGTGGAGAGACAGAGGCCAAACCCATTCCCTGGCAAAAATTCAAGACTCTTGTTACCTACCACAAGTGAGGGCCTTTGGGACTGGGCCCTGTCACCCCTGCCCCCACAATGCTTGGATCCCACCCCACCCCTCTCCTTATCAACACTGCTTTTCTTCATGATTCCAGAAATGGAATCGAAGAATCCTGGGCAGGGATGAGAGAGTCTCAGAGGCCACCACCTTCAGTGCAGAGCCCCTCTCTGTGTCTGAAGCTCAGTCTCTGCTCTCTCGAGGTGTTTAGTCAATGGCAGGGCATCTTTCAGGGTCTCTCAGTTTCTAACCTCCTCTATCTCAGCCACCATCAGGTCCTCAGAGAGGGTTCCCCTGGGTCCCACCCTGTCCCAGCTTTCCCCCTGATTCTCCTGTCAAAGCTTTCATCACTGTTGTCATCGTTTTTAATGTATTTGTGTGTGTGTGTGTGTGTGTGTGTGAGAGAGAGAGAGAGAGAGAGAGAGAGAGAGAGAGAGAGAGAGAGAGATTACTTATTTCCTCAATGGGCAGGGTCCCGGGAATCCTCAGGGCTCCAGACATGCCAGCTGCTTTCAGTGATTCATTCACTCACTTGGTCTCCTTTTCTTTGATTCACACTTTTGTTTAATGTAATCCTTCATTGGTTCTCTAATTCCTTCCGAAAGCACATGCTGCTGGTGGCCAATAAGTTTTTTACTTTGTAGGGGGCATTAGGGGAGGAGGGATGAACACAGGACGGAATCCTGGGAAGACATCCCCAACTTGGAAAAGTGGAGCTGGGCAAGTTGGAATATCTCCTGCTGAAAAGAAAAGATTCCAGAATGCTGGATGATGCTGAAGGACCCAGGAGCAAAAGGGTGAACCGCTGAAGCTCCTTGGCTCTCCCTTCCACCTCTCTGCTTATGCTCAAATCCTGCTGTCCACATAGGCTGCTCAGATGCCTTCCAAGCCTACTCATTTCTCCAGCTGTGAGGCCTGAGACCAGCTTCAAACAAACTCTCAGAGCAGAACCGCTCACCACTGACAGCTTCCTGGCCTCAGCCATAGCCTGAGTCTCCTCTCCTTCCATAGCAGAGGTTTTATCTAACTGTCCCCAGGTTTCCCACAGAGCCAGCACCCAGAACCTTAGGGACGCTCAAGCACTTAGGTGTTACAAATTAGTGTGTTTATGAGTCCATTATATAGATAGAGAAGTGGAGACACAACAATATGACATGCCCTCACTTCCAGAGCAAAGGTGGCCCCAAATCCGAGTTTGATTTCACGGGCAGAGCTCTCTCCAGGCCAACCTGATGGGAGCTTGGAGGTGGGAGTTGAGTAGAGTGGGGTGGGAGCTGGGTCCTGAGAACCAGCTGGCTAGAGAGAGTTAAAGTTGGGAGGGCCAAGTTCAGGGAAGGCACAGCTGTGGAGGAGCCGATCTGTTTATTATGCTTGGTCTGTTCTCCAAACAGAGCTGATGGATGGAGCCACTCCAGCTCCTATAAACAGTTCAGCCTGCCTCCTTCGCTCTAGCCCTCCCGTTCTCAGCACAGCTGTTTCTAGGGAGACATGGTGATGGGGTGGAGAGACAGGATGAGAAGATAGAATGGGAGGACAAAGATAAGACAGAACCCTCAAGGCCAGGGGAGACTGAGGACAGCAGAAGCCGGCCATAGAGCATGCTTATATGCTGTTGCTTCCCCTGGGCAGTCCACGTCCTGCTTTCCTCTGCCCTCTCTGGATCCCCTGGGTCTGTCTGAAGGCTGGTTTTAAGCCCAAGAGTAGCTCGAAAGTCCTGGAGGGCAGGGTCCATTAATTCGGGAAATCTTTTCTGAGCTCACAGTCCCAGGGGACACACAGGGGACTCTGGGTAGGAATTTTTTCCCAGGACTCTTGATCTGATGGTGGACCAGTCATACACACAATGCTAGAGCCTGAGGGTTCCATGGGGATTCAGGCAGCAGGAGGAAGCAACCCAGGCCTTCTCCCTAGAGGAGGCAGTCCAGTCAGATAATGGTAGCAGGAGTTTGTGGGTGGGTCAGGGCGGGTGGAACATGCCTGGTGAGGGAGGGGAGAGCCTGGGACTGTGAGGGTCAGATGCTAAGGGCTGCCAGGGGTTCAGGTCATCAGCTCATGGCTGGACACTGTAGAACACACCTGTCGTCCCAGTGCATGGGAGGAGGCAGGATGATGAGGGGCTCAAGGTCAGTCTTAGCCTCACAGGATACCATGACTCAAAACACAAGGAACAAGAAACAGGCAAGATAGCTCAGTCGATAAAAGCATTTGCTGCTAAGCCGTACAATCTGAGTTTGAGCCTGGATATTTACAGTGCTAGAGGGAGAGAACTGATTCCCACAAGTTGTACTCTGATCTCCGAGCACATGGGCACAGATGCAAATAAGTAAAACATAACAAAAAGAAGACAAACGACAACGACAACAAAAGAAAAATATCACTGGCTTCAGAGAGGGACGAACCTGGGTTTAGGTCTCTCCTCTAGAATCTCAAGATACAATAGAAATGTCTTCAAACACTGTAAGAATAAGGTCCATCGACTGCTCAGCTTGGACTCAGCTGGATGCACTTAGTAATGGTCAGCAAACAGTGGGTGACAGCAGAGAGGAGCTGTCAGAGGGCAGCAGATCACTACTCTCAGAACCGTGCAGGGTGTCTGCAGTAGGCAGCTGACCAGCCCCTGGTCTGGTGGACTGAGATGGCGAGGCAGCTGTGTGGTGGTGGTGGTGGGGAACAGGGTCCCTTGAGGAATGGGGCACCATAAGAGCCTACTGAACTGGATGAGTTGAGGATGACACTCCAGGTGACCTGCGACACAGCTCCCCCCGCCTCCAGAACTGGCTGAAAGCTTAGTAAACCGGATGTTCTGATGACCTAGTTGGCAGCTATGTACATGTTTCACTGAAAACAGGAATTTCTGCCCCACTGGGGGTCTTGGCCAGGTGAACAGGCTCCCCTGTTTGCCAGGAAAAGGGGTTAGGGGCCTGGTGGGGTCCTGTTGGAGGGGAGGCCCACAGGTCCTGGACTGAACCCAGCCCATGCAGTGGCCTGGTCCAAGTCTGCCTTCACTGAGCCCCTACTGAGTGCCTTCCCAAGGCTAGGACTGCCCCATGAAATAGCAAATTCAGTGTTCCCTCGGGAGTGTGAGAGCGGGGAGCAGGGATGCCTGCCGGGGAGAGGCTAGAGGCAGAGAACTGATTTGAAGAAATCTTTAGGAGCAGGCAAGGCTGTCCATCCAGGGAGGGCCCAGAAGCCACTTGAGCTGTGGGGATGCTTCCAGAGTGCTTGGAGGTCGGGGAAAGGCTGGGCTGGAAGACAGGTAGGCTGGAGAGGAAGACTGGTACCCGCAAAGGCCTCAGTGTTGGTGTACTGAGCTGGGCCACCAGAGACCAGCGAAAGGGCTGCAAGCCAAGCAGAAGTCAAAGGTGGGCATTGCTGTCCCTGCTTCTCACTTTAGTCTCTCTTAACCTCATAGCTGCCCTCAGTGCTGCAGCTCCTCCTTCCCTGGGAAACAAGAAGCTTGAGAGTGTGGAGACAGCTTTGTGGATGGGGTGAGGGGGGCTGAAGGGCTGTGGTGCTCAGGGACAAAGACATGAGATCTCAAAGTACGCAGATCTTGTAAGAAGGGTTTGGGAGACCTCAGGTAAGGAAGGGTGGGGTGGGCTGAGGAGAGGAATGGGGGGAATCTGCCATGGAGGGCTGGGAAGGGGAGATGGGAAAGCAGTACAAGGGTCTTTCACTGCCTTTCAGATAGGGGAGGGACAGCCTTTTTCCTCTCCCACCACTCCCCATCTTAAAACAAAGGCAGGGGACAGACACATCACTGGGGACATGGGAAGGGGCCATAGTCACTAGTTTCTGAGATGGGATGAGGCATACGTGGTGTGGGTATGACAAGGCTACAAAGGAGGCTGAGAGCTTCAGTGTCCCCTGAGGTGCCTCACGAGGAATGAAAGCCCCTGATGGGAAGGGAAAAGCCAGGGTTCAAGCGCATGCGATGGTATGGGGTGCCCAAAGAACGCAGGCTGGCAGGCCACACTTTCTCCAAAATTATACTTTAATACATTCATGTGAGTTATACAAAGAGCTGGTCCCAGTGCCTGGCAGTGGCCAGTCATGGGAGGTGACAGCAGCATGATATAGTGTTCTCAGAGCTCAGGCACAGGGACCATGTTTTGGCCTCCAGGCTGAGAAAGAG